CGTCTGCCCTGGAACGTGGTTGGAACCAGGACGGTGAGAACATCCATTCTCAGCTGATTTGGGGTGACATTGGGCGCCCTTGGCCATGCCCACTGAGGACCTGCCCTCCCCGCTGCGCATCCTCTCTGCCCAAACCCCACCTACGCTCTCCCTCATCCCCCAACAGCCCCTGATGTGGGCGTCCTCCTGCTCACTTGGTGGGTGGAGACACGGGCTCAGGAAGCCACTGCCCCCAGAAGGTGCAGCTGGAATCTGGCATCTCATCTCCATCTGCTCCCAAATGAAAGCTCTCCCACCACACCCACGTCCTTGACGCCAGGGTTGCCCTGAGCTCCTCACTGTGCCTCATCCCATTGACAGGCTTGGTGGCCACCGGGCAGCCATTCCACATGTCAGGCGCCCCCTCCCTGGGCATTAACCAGAGGGGCACCCTGACGGGCTCAGCTGAGCTCCCAGGACCCAAGGCCTTGGCTCGCTTGGTGGGACACGCTTACCCGCTCCGGATGAGGTCGTAGGCCACAGAGGGCACGTCCTCGGAGGACGGCGACGCCACGCAGGTGTCCACGAACAGGGCCATGGAGGCGTCGGCGCGGCGGATCTCGGCCTGAACGTACAGGTCCTGGTTCAAGCGCACGTAGTAGGGGTGCGTGGTCACGGGGTATGCGAACGAGGACGACGTGTAGAAGGACATGTTGACGGCGAAGTTGCCGTACTGCACTTCCTGGACCTCGGCGTTGTCGTTGGCCACGTACATGAGGTCCACCCAGGTGTCCCGCAGCATCCGGCAGCTCACGTGGAGGTGCAGGCTCGGCCGCCTCTGGATGAGGCCGTTCGCGACGGGGATGGCTGCTTGGAGGGTGTTGGAGTAGGTGATGGTGTCGTTATCCAGCTGGAGGGGGCGGGAGAGGGCGTCAGGCACATGGCCCTGCGAGGGGATCTCGCTGCTGGTCTTGTTGGAGTCAGAAGTGACTCAACGCGCTTCACAACCCTCCCAGACCCGGCCGGCGTGGCTTCAGGCCCCACGAAGCCCTGGCGGCAGCCGTGGCTGCGATGATGGATGTGCTGGGCAGACAGCCGGGCGCCCTCCGCCTCGATGGTGGGGAGACCGCCTGCCGCCGCCTCCCTGTGGTTGGAAGTGGGAGGGACACGGATGCCTTCACCCCAATAACGTTCCGCTTCTACAGACACAATCCGTCCCCTGGGCCCCAGAATCCAGGACACGCCGGGACGTCGCCGGGAGGAAGCGGGCTCGGGGAGGGTGCGGGAAGGCCACTCACCTGCTGGGTGGTGCCGCAGCCCGCGTAGGGGATGGTGAAGGTCACCTGGCTCGCCGTGACCTGGGCCTGACACTGCTGCACGTCGTTCCAGTGGGGGATGACCAGGTCGCTGGCCGAGTAGCCCAGGGACTGCAGGTAGCTCCGGCTCACGTTGGCCTGCATCCGGTCCGGCAGGCAGAGCAGCTCTGGGGACCGAGGGCGGCCGGGTCAGTGCGCGCCCCAAACCCACTGGGGGCTCCCCCACCCCTGCCCCGTGCACACAATCAAGGGACTGACAAAGGTGGTCCACATTAGGGTCTTTTCACACCCCCCCCCAGGTACCCTACGCACACGGATGGAGAAATGGAGGCAGGCCCTGGCCGGTGTGGCCCAGGGGGTAGAGCGTCAGCCCATGGACTGAGAGTTACGAGTTCGAATCCAGTCAAGGGCAAGTTCCTCCGTGGCAGGCTTGATCCCCGGCCTCACGGAGGCAACCAGTCGATGTCTCTCTCACATGGATGTTTCTCTCTCTCTGTCTCTCCCCCTCCCGTCCACTCTCTCTAAAAATCAAGGGGAAAATGTCCTCAGAGGAGGATAACAAAAACAAACAAAAGAAATGGAGGCCGGATGTGGAAGGAGGAGCTGTCCTGCCCGGTCACCGTGAGCCGCAGGGTAAAGTGACACTCGGGTGGAATCGTGGGGACGCGGTGAAATAGGGTCCGTGGGCTGTGGAGCCGGCAGGGCTGAGAGTCCCGCGGAAAAAGGGCTGGGACAGCACCTGCCCGCCGGCCACAGTCCGTCGTCCGTCCATCCGTCCGTCCCCTGCACAGCTCCACTCCTGGCCACCAGCCTCTGCTGGGCCTGGAGCAGCGACCAGGGGCCTCCAGGCGGCAGCCACAGGTGCCAGGTCTCAGGACACGGTCACGGTGCCCCTCACTCTGATGGTCACAGGTCTCCCGCCAGGGCCACTTCCGCCCTGGGCATGGCGTCCACTGGTCCCTTCCAGCGGCAAATCCAGAACGCGGACCTACCGGCGGCTCTGGTCTGCTGTCCCGCCACTGCGGGTGCGGGGGGGCAGGCACCCTGCCCCGAGATCCTGGGACTTACTGGTGCTGTGGTTGGAGGGACGGGAGTAGTATTCGGCCTGGAACCCGCTGCGGGTGACGCTGCCGTCGCTGACGAAGCGGATGGACATGAAGTTGGAGGACGACGTGAAGGAGTCCCTTGAGCCGTGGCAGACCCGGGCGATGAGCGGGGAGCTGAGGGCGGGGCCGTCGAACACCTCGATGTAGTCGTAGTTACAGTTGCTCTCCAGCCTGCGGACACGGGGCACAGGGTATGGGCTCCACTTAACTAAAGGCTTTGCTGTTGTTTTGTTATCCTCCCCTGAGGGCATTTTCCCATTGAGTTTTAGAGAGAGTGGGAGGGAGCGGGGGAGACAGAGAGAGAGACACAGTGATGTGACAGAGGCAGAGATAGGTTGCCTTCCACACGCACCCCTACTGGGGCCAGGGACTGAGCCTGCAACTCAGGTACCTGCCCTTGACCGGGAATCGAACCTGCGACCCTTCAGTCTGAGGGCTGACACTCTACCCACTGAGCAAACCAGGCCAGGGCTTATCCCTCTATTTTTTTAAAATATATTTTTATTGATTTCAGAGAGGAAAGAAAAGGGGAGAGAGAGACACACACACCAATGATGAGAATCATAGATCAGCTGCCTCCGGCACGCCCCCTACTGGGGATGGAGCCCAGAACCGGGCGCGTGCCCTGACTGGCACTCCAGCCCTGACCTCCTGGGTCAGAGGTGGACACTCCATCCCTGAGCCACGCCGGCCGGCTCATCCCTCTCTTTTGACTGAGGCTCGGGAAAGGCGAGTGACCTCCTGTGGCCACACTGGGCATAGGGACCACACAGACCGGAAGCCAAGGCCCTGTGCTGGCCCCACTGCCGGCTGCCCCTGTGCTGGGTAGAAAACCGCGCCCACGGGCAGAATACCAATGGGCAGCCTCTCTCCCAGGGTGCCAGCTCCGGTCCTTCCCTTCCCCACATCCCCGAGGTCCCCCCGAGGCCCCGCGGCCGCCCGCACCCCACTCACTGCACGTCTCTGAAGACGACGGTCACGCGGTGGTTGTTCTGGACCTCGATGTCCCACACGCAGCGGGCGTTGTTGGGGTAGCTCCCGGGGTAGGACGGGCTGGAGAAGCGCCCCGAGGGCCGGGACAGGAAGCCCCCACAGGCCCCCGCGGCTGCCGGGACAGAGGAGATGCTGGTGACCCAGAGCACAGGGCGCACCACCCGGGCAGGGGGAGTTGTACTTATTTATTATTTTTAAATCCATTTTTACTGATTTTGAGAAAAAGGGAGAGGGAGTGAGAGATAGAAACATCCCTGATGAGAGAGAATCATGGACCGGCTGCCTCCTGCACGCCCCACACTGGGGATGGAGCCTACAACCTGGGCCTGTGCCCTGACCGGGAATCGAACCCTGACCTCCTGGTTCATAGTTTGACACTAATCGCTGCCTCCGGCACGCCCCCTACTGGGGATGGAGCCCAGAACCGGGCGCGTGCCCTGACTGGCACTCCAGCCCTGACCTCCTGGGTCAGAGGTGGACACTCCATCCCTGAGCCACGCCGGCCGGCTCATCCCTCTCTTTTGACTGAGGCTCGGGAAAGGCGAGTGACCTCCTGTGGCCACACTGGGCATAGGGACCACACAGACCGGAAGCCAAGGCCCTGTGCTGGCCCCACTGCCGGCTGCCCCTGTGCTGGGTCGAAAACCGCGCCCACGGGCAGAATGCCAAGGGGCAGCCTCTCTCCCAGGGCGCCTGCTCCGGTCCCTCCCTTCCCCATGTCCCCGAGGTCCCCCCTAGGCCCCGTGGCCGCCTGCACCCCACTCACTGCACGTCTCTGAAGACGACGGTCACGCGGTGGTTGTTCTGGACCTCTATGTCCCACACGCAGCGGGCGTTGTTGGGGTAGCTCCCGGGGTAGGACGGGCTGGAGAAGCGCCCCGAGGGCCGGGACAGGAAGCCCCCACAGGCCCCCGCGGCTGCCGGGACAGAGGAGATGCTGGTGACCCAGAGCACAGGGCGCACCACCCGGGCAGGGGGAGTTGTACTGACTTTCCCATGTGCCTCCTGCACGTGCTCCCTGCCTGTCCACAAGCCTCCGGCTCCGCTGGGTCACCGGGGTCGAAGGCCTGGGAGAGACCAGCCGCATCCCTTCACGTCTCTGACCGCCATATTCCACCCAAACAGAAGGCCTTTCCCATCTCTCCCCCATGAGCCAGGCAAGGACTGGTGGCTTGAGGTGTTGGCCTGACTCTGAAGTTTGGATACAAAGAGTCAGGGAACGGTGACTGAACCAGGAGGCAAGCACAGGTCCCAGTACCCTGAGGACCCTCATCACATGTTCACTGCCATCCCCGGGCACTGTCTTTGCCCCCTTGGGATGCGGGTGTGACCATGCTGGCCCTCAGGGTGTGACAGGTGTGACAGGAGGAGAGAAGCCAGAAAACTGCTGTCCCGTCATCAGAAAGCCAGTGGGCATCAGTGTCCACTATCCCACAAAGCCCTCCTCAGCCTGGAGCCACGGGGCCACCTTCATGGAAGAGGAGGAACTTCTCTGACCATCGGCCACTCTCCCCCGGGATGGCCGCCGAGTATCTGATGAGAACTCAGAAGGAGGATGGACAGATGGGGTCCTTGGAATCCTCCCTTTAGTAAAGGAGACAGAGGGCAAAAGTGTGGCCAAGATGGGGTTCAAAGAGCCAGGGGTCAGCCGGAGATGGCCAACTGGCAAAGGGGGCAGGAGAGAGGGACATCCCAGGACAGGTGGCTGGGACTCACCTGGCCAGGTTGTAGAAGGCTGAGCAGCTGTGGGAAGAAAGGGACAGTCAGACACCAAACTCCCAGGTACCCAGCCCAGATCCCGGGTTGATGACCCTCAGCTTCCACACGCGGAACTGATTGCATGCTCATGCCCTCGGGGGGACACAGCAGTGCTGCCCTGCACCTCATAGTCCTTCCAAAGCCACGCCCTCTGTCCTTTTGAACATGGCCTGCCTCCCTGAGCCTGGGGACTCCTGTCCAGTGTACGGAAGCCAGTATCATGCGTGGGACAGGCCATCAGGGTCCTGGTGTTGACCCCAGAGGGTGAACGGGGAATGACCCCACCAAATGGGGTCAATCAATATGCACACTGATTCCTCAGCCTAGAACCATTCTGCTAAAGGGAGTTTACACCCATTTCTAGACTTTTCCATGCGGTCATAATGCCCCATCCCCAAGGCCCCCATTGGCTCCTTCCATTCATTGGCCACCTGCCATCTCCCACCTCCCCCTGCTCCCTCCCACTCTGTCTGTCCTTCACAAAGGACCTCTGTGC